TCTTATCCATTCCATAACTTGTTCTGGGGCAACCACTACTTCTTCAATCAGATCTTCTACATATGTATTCCTCTATAGAATAAACACAGTCATAAATTCTCCTGAACTCCAAAACTCACTTCAATACATAAAGTTAACATAACCTGCAATTATTATGATATTTATTCAACAGTTGAATGTCTTTTTACTCCAAATGCAAAGGATGGGTAAAGTTTAGACCTTCATCAAAACTGTGACTTAAAGGCACAAGAATCAAAAACCAGAGATTTAGAAAGTTTCCAAAAAACAGAACTGCTGCGGGAAATATCCTTCTGGACATTTTCTGAGGGAATCCAGGAATATATTTCTCAGTAAATGTTATAAGGATATAATCATACAACTGGTAAATTTCTCTTCCTCCCATATTCCCAAAACATCCATTGTTTAGGGCATCAAAATTAAAAAAAAACAAAACAACCAATTTTTATTATTTGCTACAAAACTTTATATAATAAAGAAACTGAAGGTGGCGTTAAAGTAGATTTCTTTTTCTATGGTGATCATCTTACTGAATAGTTCCAGTGTCATAGTTATTCAGAGATTATAGTAGAAGAAAAGGGTATCTACTTTGTAAAAGGTAAACTAGCTACAGAAAGCCCAAAGTCATTGTTGTTATTCTACTATATCAAGTGTCCTGCTAATGCTGAGGATACAATTACACAATTTGACCCAGAAAAGCTTTCAACTAGGTGCCTCTGAAGGCATTTTGTTTTCAAATTCTTTTACTACAAGCAGATAAAACACTTATATTACATAAGATCCACTTACATTAACGTCCTCACGAATTCCCAGAGGCTTCTTCTTCCTACTATCACAAAGCAAATCTGTAATGGTTTCATTATAGATTTCCATGTAAGAAACCCTTAGCAAGAATTCTCTATCTGGGATCTAACATTGAAAGAGAAAAAAAAAATTATTAGCAGACTAACTGATGAACACCTTTTAATGCAAGTATTCTTAACTCAGAGATACATGTTTGGATATTGTTCTACAGATTTCTTTCCCCTCATCCTCTATGTAGCATTAGCATCTACCAATACAGAATAATTTTTCTTCTCTACCACCTCTTTTCAGCTGCATTAATGGTATACCACTTCTAATAGGTTGTAAAGTTAAGATAACTGCCCTACAGAAGCATGACAATGGCCTTCCCACTCAAATATCCTTTTCATAACCAATTTCCTCCTGCTTAGGCTCTTTTCTCTCTGTGTACCCTGTCTTCTCTCTCTGCTTGTTTGGATTTACTTTGCTGCTGCTTTTTCCCCTACCTCCCTAGTAGAGAATATCGGGATGAGCAAAGGCTGCACAATGGACTCCGGGAAAGTTTTTTTGGCTTCAGTTACTTTCATAAACCTCCCAAGGTACCCTGCACCTCCTTAAAGGAGCAGAGAGCATTTCACTGATAATGATTACTTGATACCCTCAAGGCAGAAGCAAGCGCTCTGCAAATCATGTTTTAGAAATCACTGTTTTAACTTACACCTTCTCCTTACTTTTATTAACCTTGAGCAATTAGCAATTCTTTTGTAAGTCTGAAATAAGTAAATATAGTATCATATTCTTCCCACCAAAAAAAAGTCTTTATTGTTGTTAGTTTTTAGACTTTTAAAATAGCAGAATAAACATAAAGCTTCATGTTACCTTATCTACCACATGAAACAGTGAGTATCTATTTATACTTGTAATCAATGTTTAACATATTTGCAAGTTTAACAACCCTCGTCAGTGTTGCTCTGATTTAATTTCAACTAAAGCCTCATTAGCTTTTTGTTTTAAACCACTCATCTTTTCCAGGCTAGCAAAGCAACTGCAACATATAGTCCAATATAAATTCACTTCCTTCATAAGCTCCTTGATACTAAAATTAACTTTTATGTAATGATCACAAATATTACTAGTCCTTTCAGTCACTTCAATTTAATGGAATTGCTCACCTCACAAATAATTTTGAAAACATGTTGAATTGCCTTAGGGATAATGCCCACAGAATCTTCATTTCCCATCATTGTGTAAGTCTTCCCTGAAGCAGTCTGTCCGTAAGCAAAAATTGTGCCTAGAAAGATAGTAGAGTTTTACCAATTATTTCTAAAACACATTACAAACAGGATTTAAACACAGTTTTAAAACTTACCATTATAACCTCGCACAGCTGACTGTATAATTGGAACAGCTACACCATCATATAACTGCTGAGTGTTGTCACTGGAGTGAAAGACACGATCTTAAAAACAAATTAAAATAAAGCATGTGAATCCCTTGTATTGCAAGTCAAAACCGACCTATCATCTTACTCAGTATCACTGACTTCAAATCCAATAAATCAGCATCACTGTTTGTAGAGTAATTCAAACATAAAATATCATTGTGGTACTACTAATCAGGCTTTTAGAATTTTATTTTAAAATAAATATTAAACACAAAACCAAGAAAGATGCAATGCACATATGACAAATAAGTAATAAAACTGTAAGAATGGAGGACACAGTTAAACAGTCATCCTATTTAGTATAGTTATGGCTAGTTTATCTCTGAGGATTGTAAATCAGACAAGACAGGCTAATTGTCCCTGTGCAGCCCACGGAGGACCATCAGGGTGCAGAGATCAACCTGCAGCCCATGGAGGTGCCCACTCTGGAGCAGGTGGATATCTGAAGGAGGCTGTGACCCTGTGGGAGGCCCAAGATGCAGCAGGGTTCTGCTGGGGACCTGAGGCCCATGGAGAGGGAAGCCCATGCTGGAGCAGGTTTTTCCCTGGTAGGACTTGTGGCCCATGTGAAGGACCCACACTGGTACAGCTCATTCCTGAAGCACTGCACCCCATGGAGGAGTGACCCATGGGACAGCAGTTTCATGAAGAACAGTTGCCCGAGGGATGGACTCATGCTGGAGAGGTCCATCAAGGACTGTATCCCATAGGAGAGACCCCACAGGAGCTGGAGAAGGACTCCTCTTCCTGAGCAGCGGCAGAAACAACAACTTACCATAACCCCTATTCCTTGTCTCCCTGCACTGCTGGAGGGGAGAAGGGAGAGCTTGGAAGGAAGCAGGGGTGGGGGGAAGGTGTTTTTAAGATTATTTTGCTCTAATCCTGTTAGTAATAAATTCAATTAATATCTCCACTTTGAGTCTGTTTTGCCCATGAAGGTAATCAGTAAGTGACCTCTCCCAGCTCTTATCTCAACTCATGAATCCTTAGCTGTTTTTTTTCTCTCCTCTGTCTAGTTGCAGAGGGTGAGTGAGAGAGTGACTTTAGTGGGTACTTGGCAACCAGCCACGGTCAACCCACTACCCCCCACCCCCTTCTCCCTAAATGCTCTGGACTAGCCCTGGTCTAGTCTGTAACTGGATTTCATATGAAAAGAATCGAGTTCCTGTGTTCCAAAGCCACCAGAGCATAAACCAGAACAGAGAAAGCAACGTCCACCAGGAAGCTGACTTCAAAAGCACATTCCCAGTGTTGTCTATATCAGAAATCCTGTGTGTCTCAACGACATTCCTTCAGAATTATTTAATTGGAAAAGTTCAGGAACACTGCAGGAACCTCAGGGCACTCACGTCGACACGTTCAAGCAGTACAGTAGCAAAAGTCCGCATAAGCATCAAAGCAAAGCAATTGCTTTCACATTCTTACCGTAACTAAATATTTTGGTACCATTCACGTCGGAAACAGTATTATTTTCGCTCTTCCAGTGCAGGGACACTTTATCTCCTGAAGCATTTTCTCTAAGAGAAGAAGATACTCTGTTACCTTCATCGGGTCAGGGCTCTGCTCCCGTAACACGGACCCCTGACCGCGACCCTCTACCCCGGAGGGATCCGGATCCCTCCTTCCGCCACGCGGATAGATACCGTCTTCCTGCCCCGGCCCCCTCACGGTGCGAGGAGCACGGCAGCATTCCGGGGTAAGTGCCGCTGCAGCCTCCCCCTCCCGCCTGCCCGGAGCCTCACCTGGCGATGAGCGGCCGCACACGCACGCAGACCGTGACCGCGCCCTCGTCCGCCATGCCCGCCCGGGACAAGGGAGACCGGGACAGGGACCCGGGACCACTCGGGACAAGCACCGCCGGCCCCAACCGCCGCCGCAGTTTGAACTGCTCCAGAGACCGCTCCCTATTGGCCCACGTGGGACGGACGCCGCACGCGGAGCGTACCACTCGTCAGCATCTGGGGGGGGAAGGAGCGAGGGGAACGAGCAAGGAAAGAATCGTGAGGGACAGGCTGATCAGCCTTGGAGCTCTCCCGTGACACCCCCCCCTCCCGTCTGCCGTCAGCGCTGTGGTGGTGCCGCCCAGGGATGCGAGCGGCGCGCGTCGGCGCGGCCGTGGTCTGGGGATGGAGGGATGGCTGCCCCGGGGAAAACGCTCCAGGAGCATCGAGTTTGACCTTAAACCCAGCACCGCCGTATTCACCGCTAAACCGTGTCCTCAAATGCCACAGCTGCAGGTCATTTAAATACCTTTAGGGATGGTGGCTCCACCACTGCCCTGGGCAGCCGGTTCCAATCCATAGCAGCCTTTTCCATAGAGAAATTTTTCCTAATATCCAAATCTAAACCTCTCCTGGCGCAACTTGAGGCTGTTTGCTCTGCTTATATCGCTTGTAACTGAGGAGGAGACTCATCCCTACCTGGCTACAACCTCCTTTCAGGTAGTTGTAGAGAGTGATAAGGTCACCCCTCAGCCGCCTCCTCTCCAGGTTAAACACCCCCAGCTCCCTCAGCCGCTCATCAGACTTGTGCCCAGACCCTTCACCAGCTCTGTTGCCTTTCTCTGGATATGCTCCAGCACCTCAATGTCTCTCTTGCAGTGAGGGGCCCAAAACTGAACACAGGATTTGAAGTGCGGCCTCAGCAGAGCTGCTGATCAGTGTCATCCCCATGCACTTGCCCAGTACCTCGATAAGCTGTCTACTGAATCTAAACAGTATGCTTTCATACACAAAAGCACACATTTCACACATTGTTATGTGATTATAATTTTTTTTATTTAAAATGTATTGAAGTGAGGGTTAGAAAAACTGTGAACATCTGGTGGATTATAGTTCTTAGTTCAAATCAATATCTTAGCAAGCAGACTGCACAGTCATCTAAGAAAAAGGCTAAGTCATTCATTGCACAGTCTTCATGAAGGGCTTTAGGGGTGGAGAAGGAGTGGAAGGTAGCTGCAAAGAGAAGCCTACAGAAATCAAAAAAGAAAGCATGCTCCAATTGCATTTCTTTTAAGGTCAACAAATTAATGACAACATTATCAAAATACTATTCACGTTTAAAGTTTTAAAACAATATGTTTTCCCACACATTTTAATCATCTCCCTCTTCTTCCTCTTCCTCTTCCTCTTCTTCACCTGCGGCTAAAGCTTCCTGTGCAGCCTTGAAAGCCAGTTCCTCTTCCAGAGTGGGGTCTCTTGCCTCCGTGATTGCTGGACCACTGGGATATTCTTCTTGCACTGGTGGGGGCAGGATGGGAGTGTAGTTTTCTGGACTGTATTTGTGACCCCAGCCAAAGTAGATGTTCTCAAATTTCCTGAGAAAGAAAAGTGAAAGAAAACCTTCAGCCCCTGACAAAATATCAGCAGAGATACTGTCAGGCTTCCTTACTCTGCTGCGCAAAAAGTTACAGATATCCTATAACAGAAGAATTTAAAGGATGGCATGTGGGGTGAAGTTGTAGCCCCACAATTAAAGTTTGAGGTAGTGCAAAAGTTAGGCCGTGTTCCATGGGAGCAGTGGAGCTGGTTAGATGGTTTCCATGGACACGGCCTTTGGTTGCAGGGAGTACAAGGTTAAGACTGTTTGATAATGTGCAGGTGCTTGAACTCCTGGATGTCTTTGTGAAAATATGTTTATGTTGTGTGGGGGAAAGTAGAAGTTAGCATGCTCAATAAAGGCTGCCTGCTGCGCTGAGCAGGCAGACATCTCTTGTCTCACTGTCCTAGTGTGTCTTGCGTGTCTTTCTTCCCCCACCAGACCAAGGCCTCACGTATCACGACAAGATACCCTGTGACAATGGCACCTTTTTTTAACTGCTCTAATGGTTGATTAATACATCTTCTGTTTAAAATGATGAAGTGTCACTGCACTATATTGCAATATGACTCCAACTTCACTTGGGTAACAACATAGTGCCATTTCTGACACCAACTCCAGTGCCTTTTTAAAAGCAGGTGGAGGTCATGACTGTACCATTTGTAGTGGAAAAAAACGAGTGTTAGAACCACAGAATGTAGATGTTTTTGTAGAAAGTACCACAGACCCAAGAATACAGGTTTTAAATCAAGGACTGTGCCCAAATACTAACTGGACATTTACATCCACTAACTTTATACCAGTCTTTCCAATGATTATTTGTTTTCAGTCTTAAATACATATTTACTGTTGCTGTGCACATTCAAGTGGCCTTCTCCATCAGTCTTTGGAATAATTAGAATTCAGTCAATGAATTAATAATAAAGCAACTTTGCCAGGTGCCTGTGTGTAGCATATACAGTCTGTGTTGTAACCATGTCAACTAGATTCTCACCTGCCAGATGCAAAGGCATATGCTCCAGGCCACCGGTTAGACTGGATAATTGCAACAGAGTGTTGTGGGATCAGGTTTGTAGAATGCTGAGCTGTCCAAGCAGGGATGTCTTTAATTCCTGGAGACAGCCAAACACACACTGTCTATGAATAAATGGACTTAGAAGCCTCTACAAAACATTTAAGACTGAGCTACAAGATTTTCAGAATTACAGAAAGACTTACAGAATTCAAGCAACAGTTAAATTAAGTTGCATGTTAGAAGAGCCAGAAGTCAGAAACAATAAACTGTATTTGAACAAGTGGCTCGAATGTATGAGCATGGAGCATGGGAATTCTAAGAGACCCACAGGAGTGCTACTCAAATTCAGTAGCATTAACCCTGGTTTCTTTTGTCAAGGACTTTTTAGCACTTATGGATACATTATATAGTTATATTTCACCTCCATTAAAGAATGGAGAGTAGGAAAATAATTTAATATTGATGTAATCTAATATTCAGGCTCCCTTATTCCCATGATTTACTGCAGGAATATGCTAAAACATCTAAACGCTTATATAAATACCGAATATAAGTGTATGTGTGTACATATTAATTAATTTATTTATTTACACATGCACACACACTTTTTTTTTTTTGGCCTAAAAAGATGAGGTAAAAATAGCTGAATGTATTTCATGTAGTGAGCTGTCCTGAATGTGCAATAACCTGACAAGTCTAAGTTATTTTTTTCCCTTTAATCTCAACAAGATTGTTACCTAGTAAACCTGATTATTTCAGTTTTAATGTCTATACTGTTAACCATTTTGCTTTTGATTGATTCTGTAAAAGAATGTGTTTACCCCACAGGGGCAAACTATATTGCTCCAAAAAGTGCCAGAGTCCTATAACTTCAAATATTTACTACCTAAATGCCAACATTCCTAGTGGCTCTCTATCAAAAACTTCATGTTCCACGAAGAATACCTTCATCTTCAGAGAGCAGAGTAAGAAGGGGTGGTCCTGTTTCTGCCTGTTGCTCATCCATCTCCTCTTCCTCCTCTTCCTCCTCTTCTTCTTCTTCATTTTTTTCCTCTAATTTTTGAGGATTAATCCAAACACAGCGACCCTATAATTGATACAGAAAAATAATAAATACATGTAACAATCACTGAAAGAATGCAAGCCAGTTAAAACAATTGGCTCAGACACACACACAGAGTTAAGGGATAGGGAGAAGAAAAGTATATATTCCATAACCGGTATATTGTTGGCAGAATATTGTATCCTCTTGGTAGAATATTTTATCCTCTTGGCAGAGAATTTCCTATATCCTTCTTTCCTCCCTCCTTCCTCGCTCATCCCTGCTTACTATTTCAGAATAACCTTATACCTCTGCCATTCGTTTTTTGTGATTTTGTAGTCTTCAGTTCCTGACCAGTTTCGTTTATATCCTTGCTAGACTACCAGTTACTGCAAACCAAGAGGCTTAACTTATGGACTTACCTCTTCCTTTAAAATCTACCTTGTTATTTAGCTACCAGTCAGAGGAACATGTTCTTAAGATTCTAGTGCACATAAACTTTATTTTTTACAACTATTGTTTTGCTGGTAGTAAGTTTAAACGTCATTTCCTACCATTTGCTGTTATATTACACTAGCATTCTTGAACTGGTAGACTGGCCAGCCAACCATCCAGCAATGATCATCAAATTAGTAATAACTCTTTCTAGCACAGGCCTGATAGCACATGCTTTTAAGCTTTTTCACTTGCATGTTTTACAGCAGAAAGTATAAAACAAAAAGAAGAAAACAACAAATAAGTTCCACTTAGCATACAATCAAAAGCTATCTGCATTTTAGCATCCTACCCAAGAAAGGAAAATTTTAAACATTTTTGTCAAGTAAGGATGTCAAAGCAGAGAACCTAATACAAAAGATTACCAGAAATCATAGTTATCAGGGCCTAACTCCATACTGTTATCTAAAGATAGGTTTCAACCTCAAGAACACATAATTGAAAAAGTACTAAATCTAGAAGGTTCCTAAATATATATATATATGTACACGTGCAAGATATTTACATATCATATATAAAATATATCTTCTGTATAAAAATGTTGCAGTCCAATACCATAGTTTGAATGTGCAGGTGAGGAGTGTCATTGACATTCTGTACTGTACAAGTACTGCAGTGTGAATGGTATCCGAATGGTGCTCGGTGTGAGCACATACCTGCTGAGCACATACCTGCTTCAGAATATTCTTTACGTGGTGTGCCCATGTGGAGAGAGAATCCACCATTTCAGCCACAGGAGGAGGCTCAAACTCAGGATTTTCTTCATATGTGTCACCACCTTCTTCTTCTTCTTCCTCTTCTGGAAACTGGTAAAATCCAGTGGGAGAGACATGGGTTCCTGCTGAGATTCGAGCTATCTGTGCACGCAGGTAATTGGCCTCGTTTCCAGGGAAAGGAGGAAAGCTCACAACAGGAGCATGCAGCCGACCAGTGAAGAACTTCTTGATTTTCCTGGCACAGACAATCTGGGCTGGTGTCACTGGAGGCAACTTCACCCAGGGTTTGCCTGGCTCATTACAGACAAAGTAGACATATTTATTAGCCCCAGTCCCGTTTTCTTCTTTTGGGATATCAGGTGGGGGTTTATAGGTGGACTTTGGTGGTTCATCTTCTTTTTCTTTTTCCTCATCTTGCTCTTCGACCTCTTCCATCCCTTTCACTTCTTCCTCAGTAGCTTCCTCTCCTGCTTCCTCCTCCTCTTCCCCTTCACGTAATTGTGCTTCTGCTATAATATAGTTCATTTCCAGGCCCAAAATCTTGCCCCAGAAGCGACAGGTTTGGATTGGCTGAACGCTAGTTAGGTTTTTAAGGGCAAGGAATATATAATAGGATTCATCTTTGCTCAAGCCAATTCCAGCCTGTTCAAAATAAAAGGCTGTTTCCATCACATTCGGTAGAGGGGAATGTCCCTGGGAAAGAAGATTTGGAGTTAGAGCTAAAGAATAATATAATTATCTATTTGAAAAATTAAACATGTTATGTACTGAACATTATACTTCTCTTTCCTGTAGTGCTACTCATTCTCTCAAAGTGCTTTGCAGATATTCATTCACCACATCTTTCACTATCATTTAGAAAAATTAAAAATGCCTTTTAAGGATAAAGAAGAAAACTCAGATGAACTGCAGCTTTTAGAACACAGGATTTAAAAGTTCAAACTCCTAATTACGGCAACATAAGGAAAGTCAGAATTCTTACACAGAATCTACAAAGGACTTCAGTGCTAGGGCATGTCAGCTAGGAGGCCTGTAAACAGTGACACTCTGTTTCCTTCTGTTTGTGACAGATGGATTTGGGGGAAAATATAATACAGACTTTATATATTGAGGCACCAGACCAGCAATATTTCTCTGGAGTGAATGCTGTTTATTTGAAGACCTTGGCGTACAGCTCCATGCATTTTTTAAAATACTGCCCCCTGCTCTTACAAGTCCAGAGGAAGACCCCATCTGGCTTCAGTGGAAGCAGAACTAGGCCAGTAATGATTTAATTAAGTATTTCCATTCACTTTATCACCCTTCTCTCATTTCATGGGGGTAGGTGATCATATAACACAGACAGAGTTATTAGAAATTGGACATGACAGCATAGGGAATTTGGAGGAATTAGTGCTAGCTTCATAAGCTTCCTTAGACCTTCCAGGTTTCTTATATCAAAGCAAGATTGACAGGAGTATGAAAAATTCAGAATTCTTTTCTGAAATAACCTGCTTTTTTGCCATTTTTTCTATCCTATATTGTTACTGTAAGATACATAATAGGCTACGGAAAAGATGAAGGACTATCTCTTCTGTTGTTGGTATTTGTACTGTGCAATGGCAATTCATTTGAATATATACTGGTAACTTAATATGAAAATCAACATCTTGTTGGTTGCTTTCCCTTGGTTATTATATGAATTCTCATTTATATTCTTATAATTCTCATTATAAGAATTCTAATTTTTCATTGGGTACAAATGCTTCTGAATATATGTAACTGAATAATAAAAAATCCTGTTTTAAGAAGGGGCTTTTCAAGTCTAGCAGTTCTTCATTAAAACCATATTTTGTTTCAGTTGGAGAAGGACAGACTGGAACCACACTTGGAGCTGGAAAGATCACAAAATTCTGCATTCTCTGTTTTACACTAGCAGCCGTGCACAATATTCTGTAACTGGCATCTAATATTATGGTCTCTTTAGATAAAGAAATGTCCCTTTTAGATAAAGAAAAGAAACACGGAAGCAATATTCCATGCTGAACTGGCATATGGGAGATGTTATAAACTTTACTTTCTGTTCATCATCTCTAGAACATCCACAATTTTAAAGGCTCAGGATAGTAGATTTACTACATGAAAAAATCCCAACTAAGTAACCGGATGGGTTTTCTTCTTCACAACTAGACATGGGACCAGCTCAGCTATGGAGAGGGCACCATACTGTGATTGCAATTATTTATATGTTTGTGAGAGGCAGCGCTACAGAAGAGACCACAACTTCCTCCGTTTCTCTTCACACCATCCACCCACCCATTCCCTGATACGGAGGGTAATCTGTTTCACTCTGGTAATAACTCACTATCTCTTCTTCTATTATTTCTTCATTTTCTTCTCCATTTTCCTTGATGAACAAAGCTTTACACTTTTCTGCAGCTTCATATGTTGGAGGAATCTCATATTCATCTCGAAGAGTGTCCATTTTTTTCTGAAATCGAGCCCACTTCACATCCTTGCTGATATTCTCAATTATGTCTACTGTATTTGTGGGCTGTTCATCCAGGATCTTTGTTAGCACATTAGCAAGATGATCGTATCTGTCATATAAATGTAAATATTGTTGGCCAACTACAAAAAATTATCTCAGAATATTATGCTTTTAATATCTGAAGTAGAAGCTAATCATCTGGAACTTTGGAGAAGTCATTGGAATAATTAGAAGAAAGGCGCTCATGGACCATTATGAAAAATTAGACTTAAAACTAGCCTGATTATACTTGGGAGCAGTCCCATCTTCAATTTTTTGTATATACCCCCCCATCTTAGGCGCTGAAGCTGAATTTAAACTTGCTCCTAATCAAATCAATTTCTTTTTGGACTCCCCATAAAATTCCTTTAGGAATTTTGATTCTGAAAGATGTTGGACACATGCAAGTATCACATAGTGATGACATGTTGCATTTATAACATATTGACCCATTCTGTATATACCTCCCTGGTATCCTTCCCTTTCTTAACATAACCCTTTGCCCTTTTACCAACACTAATCTTCTCTCCACTCATACTTCCTACCATTTTTGATTGACTCTTTTTCATACTTACAAGTTCAGGCCAGATGTTGTGCTGGTCTTCAGTAAATAGGCTTTTGCATTCTGGATTGCCAGCATTCGGGCTTTTGGATCGGGTATCTGATCATCATATGGGCTGTAATCTGGCTGATCAAGACCATAACCTGGTTCGTGTGGCTGATAAGGGCCATGCCCACGTTCATAGGCATATGTCTGATCAGCACCCTGGGAAGGGTTTAATCCTGGCGACTGATCCATGTTTTTGCCTGGCCCCCCCCCCCGTGCCTGATGGGAGGCTTGTCCCAGCGCTTATCTCTGGCTGGTGTTTCTTTCTGGCCCCTGCAGCTTCTCAGGGGCTTACTCTGCTGGCCGCAGATGACAGAGGTGTTAAACTGGGCTCTGCGATTGATACGGTCCTTGTCCCGGTGCACGGCTCTAGCCGACACCTCCTGTTTGGTCCTGTGCTTGGAGGGCTGCTTGTGGCTGAGAGATGCTCTCCCTCGGTCCTCGTGGCGGCTCAGCCCTTGCCTTATCTCTCGGTATTCCTAGGGAGCTGGTCCCTTTTCCCGCTGAGGCTTATAAGGGTCTTAGCAGGCGAGTGCCCGGGGCCCCTCTGTGGCAGCGTGCGGCTCGGGCCGGCCGGGGCCTTGCGTCCGTGCCACAAGTGGCCTCGCTCCTGCCCTTCCCAAGGCACAGCCCGGGGCGGGGCCCCCTGTGAGCCCGGCGGGTGCGGTGCTTGTCCGGCCGGCCCGGGGCACACGCAGCCCCTCAGCCGCCCCGCGGGTGCCGCAGCAACGGCCGCACCGGCGACGCCGCGGGCGGGGCGTCGCCGGGGGAACGGGGGCGGGGGCGCGGGGGAGGCGCCGGGAGGGAGCGGAACTCCGGCCACCTGCCCCAGCTGGCAGGAGTGTTTAAGCGCTTCCTCTTTCCTCCCAGCGGGACCTACGGGGGTCCCGGTGAAAGGAGAATGTTCAGGGCCGGGCTGGACGGGGCCCTGAGCAACCTGGTCTAGTGACACCCCCACCCCTCATGGCAGGGGGTGGGAATTAGATGATCTTTAAGGTCCCTTCCAACCCAAACCAGTCTGATTCTATGAAACCATGAAGTGCTGTTAGTACTTTGCCTTGAACATTTGTGGTATGAGGATCTTTCAGGTGCTCTCTGAGAGCAGAAGAGTGGATCTTCAAATCTGAGTTTTGTTTTAAAAGGACGTTAATTTGCCTTCTTTGCTTTCATATGCCTTTTAGTAGTGATATATCATGCTGTTCATGAGGTACAAAGTTTTTTAGGAGAAGAAAAATACTGTAAAATCTGATAATTGCTTAAAAAAATTAAGATTCAAGATTCAAGGGGGAAAAAGCAGATGTAAATTAAGTTAGAATGAAGGTGCTCTGATAGGAAGCAGTTTTGTCATGCAGTGCTGTCAGTGTTAATCATAGAATTGTAGAATATGCTGAGTTGGAAGGGACCCGTCAGGATCATCAAGTCCAACTCCTGGCCCTATGCAGGACACATCAAGAATCACACCATGTGCCTGAGAGCATTGTCCAAACATTATTTGAACTCTGTCAGGCTTGGTGTTGTGACTACTTCCCTGGGGAGCCTGTTCCAGTGCTCAACCACCCTCTGGGTGAACGTTTTCCCTGATATCCAAACTAAACACTCCGACTCAGCTTCATGCCATTTACTCAAGTCCTGTCAGTGGTCACAAGAGTGAAGAGTTAAGGAGGCAGAGGGCCGTAATGTAAGTAGCTTCCGTTTTGCAAGAGTATTCAAACACTAAATTGTTTTAAAGATATGGTTTTATTTCTAATTATCCTGTTCTACTTTGATTGGTAATAAATTCAGTTGATTTTCCCAAGCTGAGTCTGTATTGCCTCTGACAGTAATTGGTGAATGATCTTCCTGCTCTTATCTTGACCCATTGCAGTTTCTCTCCCCTCTGTGGTTTAAAAGAAGGAGTGATAGAGCAGCTTTGGTGGGCACCTGGCACCCCCACTACAGTGCTGTGCAAATCTCAGCAAAATGCCCTATTAAAGTTTTAAGTTGTATTAAATAATGCAATACTTAAACTGTAAAATATACTTCTCTCTCACTGATGGATCAGTTAATGTAAGTTTTAAAAAATGTGGTTTATTTTGGATATCTATTAGAAGTAACCAGAGAAAATTATCAGATGGGGCACAGCAAACTTCTGTCAAGTTCCAGGAGAGTAAATGCCAGAAAGTATCATTGAGGAATCTGACTCCTGAAACAGCAGCAAAACATATTTTTCCACATCCTTTAATAAGTAGAGCATTTATGTGAAGAATTAAAAAGTTTCTGTATTGTGTTCCTGTAAGACATTACCATAAAAATGTTGCTTCTGCTGAGTTTCAACTGGTAGAATTATTATTATTGGCCTACTGATCTTTGCAAGGAATATGCTCAGATTCATTTTGCAGAACTTGCACATTGACTGCAGAGGGCGGTACAGTACTTGCAAATTACTTGTGAATTCCTTTTGATTTGATATCCATATCTCATACTTGGAGAAAAAACTTGTTGAGTAATTTACTTCTATAAAAACTGTGTGGAATTAAGTTACTTTTCTACCTGTGATACTGTGTGAAACAGATGCTCAAGAAAGGCAACTGCTTTATCTTTTCAATCTTGTTCAGCAAATAAAGAAAACTAGGGGCACCTATATTGCAATTGTATGAGTTAGGACACACGTAAAATGTGCAAGGGCTCAGGACAAAGAGTACATCAGTGCAGAAAGATGTTTCAGCAAAGTGCTGTGATGATCTTTTGTCAATACAGAAAAGTAGGAAATGGATATGTGCAATATTGTTGCAGAATCTTACTCTGATGATCACTGTCTGTAGCATGGGTTAATTAGCTGAACAGTAGCTAAGGTATTAATATTTTTCCTTTCCAAAGAGATATGTTAATGGTCTCTGCTGTGGCCAGGTAGGCATGGTTTCTTGTCCTGTGGATTCAATTCCACTTTCAGTAGCCTGTTTTGTTTGTTTGTTTGTTTTTGTTGGGTTTGTTTTGTTTGTTTGTTTTTGTTGTTTTCGTTTTTGTTTTTATTTATTTTTTTTAAACTGAAGTCTTGCCTGTTACTGGTTTTGAAATGGAGATCCAGAGGTGGTATGGTTGCATATAGGACTGGACATCTGTTGTATTTGTATAGTTTCATTAGAGAATTTTGAACATGCTTGCTTTTGAACTGGGAAGGGAATGACAGGCAATCTGAATAGAGCTTCCCTTTTCAACTGGCAATGCTTCTGTGCTCTGTTGATTTCTGCTCAAGCAACTATTGAATTGAAAAGCCCAGACTCAGGTCCCATGTGTGTCTTCCTAGAAGAGTCACTTCATCACGAGACCAATAAGTAGCACCTGTAACTACTGAGGTGAAGCTGATCTTTACCGAGTAGTGGGCAAGGCAAATTTAACTTAATTCCAGCCTCTACAGTAAAAATCATCTAGTGTTGCTTTCTGTGCAGAGCTTGTTACATCAAGAGGCTGCCAGGTGTGCTGCCAGCCCACTTAAGAGGAGGGCATAATTAGTAGATTCTTGTAGGATTTGGTACGACATAGGTTTCAAGCTGCATACTATGGTCAAGACTATGCCTGAGCATATGAAGATGATCTTTAGCTTTTCCTTTGTACTGTGTTTATGAATTAAATACTTATGCTTCCTCTTACTGCTTCTAAATGACTTCAAGAGGAAAGGTACTTGAAAAGTGCAGACTCTGGCTTGTTACCGTTGTTAATTCTCGTGGAAAGACTATTAACTACATAACTACTTTTTCATTTTTTTTCATAAATGTATTCAGTTCAGAAGCCAGTGATATTAATTTACCCTGCAGTTCCAAAAAAGCCACATGCAATTTCTGTGCTTGGTTAAACACAGAGCAAGTGCAATTGTGTAATGGAGTTTCCTCTTTTATTACTTTTTTTAAACCAAAGAGGATCAAAATGTATTTCTGCATCACTTTCAGATCAATCCATCTGATTGAAATTCTTCTTTGTATGTCAGAACAGATACTCCTGCAAGTTCTCCTTAAAATATGGCAGATTTTTTTTTGTTAGTTACAAGATTATCATTGAATCAGTAGTGCTGGCATGCCCCTTTCTTCTTCCATAGGGCTTGATTCTTTCCTCTTCTTCAGGCTATATTCTGAAGTCAAACCATATTCCTCAGGTGGTCATAGACATTAGATTAGCACTGACAGTCTGAGATGTTTTTCTATATGAGGTGATACTACTGTAAAGCTGAGAGACCATCATCCTTCTGCAGGGGGCTGATAGGAAATACATATACTGCTCTGAAGAAAATAATAATGATTTTTGAAGATCTAGTGCTGGCTTTTGCTCTTATTGAAGTCAGCAGGAGGTTTGATACTGACTTCTGTGAAAGTAAAATTAGGTTCTTTGTCATTTCATTTTCATTTTTCAACATAGACCAGGATATATGCTGGGAGACAAACTGATTTTACTTCTGACTTATGGTGGAGAGCTGCTGTGGTTAAGCCCGAGTGTGAGTTTGCATCCTGAAGTGTGAATTCCGTATTTTACATCCCTCGAGTTCTGAAAATCACCATGAGTTACAGGATAGCTATAATTGTGCAGTGGCAGCAACACTGGAATAGACCAGCAAAATTTCAAGGGGGTAAAAAATTTTTTATCACTTTATAATCTGAGTGCTAAACCTTCATCGTAAACAAAACTTTTGTTCAAACTATGTTATTACTGTGACATGGTGAGGATTTTTGTTAGGAAAAGTGCAGGAAATTGAATTTGATAGTTCTTTAGACATTGGAATGTAATGTCTTTGAGTATATGATTTATTTTACTGAAGGTGATGGTATTTCTCTGGGTTTGGTCACTGTGTGACTGACTAAAAATTGCAGTGGACAACATGATTAGTGCTTCCTGGGTGCTGTATCTCTAATTTATGATAATGTTCATTTATGCTGGTGTAGTATTTTGTACCTGTCGGTACCATCAGGTGTGGTGGGTTTTGGTTGCTATTTATGAGAAGACAGCTTAGCTTTCTGGCAAAGAGGGTGTGGCAGTTGTGCATCTTTTAAATGCATGCTGGGTTTAACCAGGTACTTGGTGCTGGTGCTCAGAACCGTCTGTTTCCTCCAAGTCTCTTAGATCACAACTGCGGGTTTTGGAGGCTGTGTGGTGTGACACTCTCTAGGGTGGGATGAAAGGCAGGGGTGATTCGTGCTAGAGATACAGAGATATAGAGTTTAAGCAGGCCTGTTTTGGATCTAAATGGCTTCTGTTACCTGTTTTTGTTGGCTGTTACACAGAAATCTGAATGTCTGTGTGGGATGGAGTCATCTTCTTGAGAAGTTCTGACTGTGCATAGTTGTGTTTCTGTACAATTCTCATTGACTGAACCTGTTTCAGTCGTTCGTGTTGAAGACACCCAAATCTGTTCCTCTGAGCTGTATAGATCCTGATGATTGTGGTGTTTCAACAGTGGAAAAACAGACTATCGGAGTTTAGGATCTTTGATTGCTGCAACAGTGTTACCAGGCATCAGTAATGTGGTAGAATTAGCTTCAAATACCCTCCTCTGCTCTGGCTTGTGGCAGGCTTGTGAAATCTCGACAGGCTTGTTTTTTCCTTGCTGTGCATCTAAATTTCTCCTTTTTGGGGGGACATGGGGGTGAAGGAGAGGGTGTTTTTGTTCATTGTAGAAATTCTTGGGGATTTTGTGCCAGTTAAAATGGAGCAATGATTTATTGTTAATAAATCCCTATTATAAAAGGG